TAATTCTCATTCGGGAATATAGCATCTGGGAGGCTTTGAACCCGTCCGTGGCGAGTATATGTGACAGAAATGAGGAACATCGCAGCTAGTGGAGAAAGACGCCTTCAAGCCGGTGATCTATTCAGACCGCGTGCGTAATTCGAAGGTGCGATGTGGTAAGCTACAAGCTATCTGAGTCCAGTCAGGACATCGGACGACACTGATGAAGTATTATCGACAATTACCTGGTATCAAACCTGGCCCTGCGATGCCTCTTTCCTACACAATGCTTGTTGATCAGGGAACGCCCGTCTGACGTGCAATCGAGGTAAAGTCGGTCAAAGTCTTGACAAGGTGGTATTCAACGTGGCCAGCCATCATTCATGCCTCCCGTACAAGCTGCATGATGGAGCAGGGTGCCATGATATCTCACCATATACCAATGATTGGTCTTGCGCTCGATCTCCGCGTCAAGTTGAGGATGTGGGTGGGAAAACTCATGTAAAATGTCCCAGTAATGCCGTGTTCGCCGCATTTTTTTTCGGCGCAGTAGGCCGAGTCACTGCTGACCTTCCAGTGTGACAATACCTCCCTGGGCTACCCGTTGCGTATGGTATGCCGTGCTGTGAGATCTCATTTGCGCCTGTCAATTTCCCGGGTCTTAATATCCCAGCGTCTAATGCTTCTGCTTGTGTATTTGACATCAGGTAGCTAGCTGGCGCTTTCCGATGCATTCATTCGGCCCGTGGGCGATATCGACGGGTCACACTTGGCTCTGCGCCATATCTGTTTCTCCTAGGATAGGTTGATATGTAGTCTCTGGGCTTCAAGCTGTTGTGATCAGATCATTAGGCTGTGCCATGGAGCACGTCAGGGGTTTAACGACGGCGACGTGCTTGTCCACATCCTGTGAATCACGCACACTCTATCGCGCACTTCTGGCTGCATGCTATCGCAGGGCTGCTAGATATGCCGAGTATCTAAACATCGCCGTGCGTTTCATTTCCAGAGTCCTATGCTAGGTTGGCATCGAGGTAGGCTAGTCGTGAACTGTGCGTAATGCCGCGGCGCGTGCTACTTGCTCTAGAATGAGCGCAAGGCTGAGGCCATGCTGTCCTCTTGTGCTAAGAGACCGCCCAGGCAGGTGGGCGTCTCTTGTTGTTCCCTCCAACTCTGTCGGGGCCCTGTGGCTCCTTTAGGTGACGGATCTTGCCGCTAGGTCCAGTTGCTGTGACACCTCTTGTTCAACTTTGTAGGTAGAGATACCGAATCGTAAACACCTGAAACTCGCATTCTCTATTCCCCGTTCATCTGAGCTGTGGTTACGTTCTTTGCGGGACGCCTACGTTGAGTTCCTACCTGATTCTCGTTTGACCAGCGTGTGCTGTGTCTGCATGCGACTGTTTGGTTCGCGGGATATTGATTCGCGCGACAATTGATAATATTCAACCCGTACAGAGTAGAGTACGTCTCGGGTAATCTTTTCATGTCACAATCAGTCTGTTTGGTGTGGTGTTGATCAACACTCGATTTTTTCTGATGGTTGATATGACATGTTTTATTTGTCGACAAACACCTGCTGTCTGCAGCCAACATTCGAATTCAAGCGTCCATCAATATGTGTGTACACCACGAATCATCCAAGCCCTAGCAGAAACGTAACGTGAAAGACCCTTCCAGATGGACTCACTCTTCAACTGAGAGACGGCGAAAAGTGAAGGTTCGGATGATAAAAGCGTTGCTGGCCTTCCAATGCCGCATTTGGCTTCACCAGGAACTCGGCGGCGACAGGCCCTGGAATGATCAAGATGGCCAACAGACCACGAAGGTGAAGACCCCTCGAGGATGAATTAGGCATCAGAAGCATGAGACTATATCTGATGATGCTGTTGACAAATTAAGTAGATGAACTCGATCTTATCGGGTATTGGCAGAGTGCGCACCCATCGAGAAACGGAACACCCCAAAACAAGGGACTATGATTACTAGGAAGAGACATCATCGCATACACACAATGGGAAACACTGGCAGCGGCACAGCAAGTTACACGATGCTCTAGGTGGATTGTCTTATTAACTTATTCATTACCGAATGCCTTGAATCTGGCATATGCAAACCACCGTGCCATAGCCCACCCACACAAGGACATTGAAGGTTAGTACCCTGGACGGACGCATCCCAGACTAACATACAAAAGAAACAACGCAGCCAGTCGCCACCCACGAGGGACGCAGTGCGATAGCAGACGGACAAGAGTAGCCAGCATGCAGCAGTCGAGGGTACACATTCACAGCCATAAGCCACAACGCGGCGCTCATTCACCAGCGACATAACAAGAGGGGACCGAGAAGAAACTGATCAAAACGTGCCTCGGCGAGGGATTATGTCTCAAGCCAACCAAGCCATCCGTATAGAACCCCAATTCCCGTATGGTACAGTAGAACACCCAAAACCAGCCAAACCCATGATCATTCGTGACAAAACACTCCACTCCCAAAGTCCGCACGGGCCACCGCGTCGTGGGTTGGATCGCGTTATGGCCCAAGAAAGATTCGTAACAGACATGCAGAAATACGACGCTTAACCACCGAAACCGTACAGGGTGCGGCCTTGGCGCTTCAACGCGTAGACAACATCAAGAGAAGTGACAGTCTTGCGCTTGGCGTGCTCAGTGTAGGTGACGGCATCACGAATGACACCCTCGAGGAAGGACTTAAGGACACCACGGGTCTCCTCGTAGATCACTAGAGAAATAACGAATTAGTCACCGATAAGCAGAGGGGAGCTGGGGTCAGGACTCACTGGCAGAAATACGCTTGACACCACCACGACGAGCGAGACGACGGATAGCAGGCTTGGTAATACCCTGAATGTTGTCACGCAAAATCTTGCGGTGACGCTTGGCACCGCCCTTGCCGAGGCCCTTTCCGCCCTTGCCGCCTGATTGCATCAAGTTAGTACACCGGGGAAGATAGAAGTAGGACGCAGGAGCGACACTTACGTCCAGTCATTGTGGATTGTGGTGAAGTCGAAGTGATTTAAGGTTGGGGTATGATGAGGCTCTTCCGAGAGAATAGCGTGCAAGATTGTTTTGACAGAGATGACGTGGGGCTGAATAGTAAAAGGGAACACGATTGTAGTCGCGCAGAGGGGGGCGGGCATTTATATCAAATGTCCGTGGGCCAAGTCTGATTCGGGATCAGCCAGAGAAAAGCGGGTACGTCCATCACGCTGGATCACGCCCTGTCGCGACGCGAGGTGAAAAATAAAAAACAACGCCAGGAAGGCACAACCGCACAGGCCACACTGGCTTTCTCAGCATCTCATCAATCTTAGGCTCTCTCAGCTTATTCCCAATTGGAGCAGCAGATGGATGTATAATTAAATGCAGCCAATCAGAAAAGCGTCCCTCGTCTGTCCCTGCTCCCTTCCTTCTCCTTCTCCTTCTCCTTCTCCTCCCACCCTTCATTGCCACCTTGCCTCGAAGTTCATCGTGCCAGATCTTAGGCGCGCCGCGTGCCATCAGAACCGTGTTTCCGGTTTCGGTTCCATCTGCAAAGTGTAAACGCCAATATTTACCCCTCCGGCTGTTCCACCTGAGCGCAAGGGACCCATCATGTCACTGGCAGTCACCGGCGTGGCAGGCAACCACTGTTCTCAAGCTCGATGCTAGCACTACCTACTGACCATAGGAGTTGGTCTGGGACAGTAACCTCTCAAATTGCGTAACCTAAGGTACCGTCTGCACCGGAAATTGTCTTTCGTATCAGCCGACACCAGAAGCCTCGAAAGGGTGGTCCGACTTGAGTCTCTTGACCGACCGACCGGTGACGTGACGATAGGCGCTCTCTCCCTCGTCGCGCGCTTGAGTCATCTAGATAGTTCAACACGCGCAAGTTCAATTCAGTGCTGTCTTCAAATCCAAGCCGAGTTCGCTGCACCCACTACCCCATTTACCCATCCCCAGGCTCCAGCCTTGCTAGGTATTCGTATACCAGAGTGATAAGGAGACCGAGAAACCGTCTCTCACTGAACCTTCACACCAGTCGCGTAGGGATTCACGATGCCGCGGCGCCGCAGAGATCGCGTCACGTCTAATACTCTCTGTTGAGCGGATGCAAAAAGCCCGGGAGATGGGCATATTCTGGGCAGAGATTACTTAGACAGGCTCGTGGCCTTCCATGTCAATCTGCATCGGGTGCACGCCGGGTGGGTAGAAGATACATGGACCAATCCCAGAAAACCTTTGTTGATTGTTCTCGTCTTCTATGACAAACAGCCATTGATATTCACTGGTAGAATACGTGAATAAATGACAGCACTCTGAGTACCAGCCGGTATCAATGCCCACTCCCTCACACGCTTTATTTCCAAGTCCTAACGCGTAGAGCGGTCGCGCATTGAAGTACCTAGGTGCATCACGTAGCCTTTTCCCATCCCGCATTTAGATGGAAATTTCCGCAGACGGGGAACGCTGGGCTGAATCAAGGTAAGGTATGCCGCATATGCAGGACCTGCCTCCAGTGCCTTGCCTATGACCACAGTGGGTCCATGGGAGGCACTAGACGCTGAGTACGTACTCTCCCCTACCGGGTGTTTGAGAGAAAAAGATGGGGTGGCGTCAGACTTGATGCAAGATTTCCAGCCAATCAAAAATGAGCCAACTATCCGTTTTGACAACAAAGCGCAAAAAACCCGCCCAACAGCGCCTGCCTTGCAAAGCAATCGCGCCTGCTTAAACGGCATTTTTCCAAAAAAGAACCCACGCCTGCCACGCTCACACCTGGCACTTCCCCTCCACCCGATCAAAACCAGGAAGGTGCGCACAGACCACCTTCCTTTTGGCACACAATCACTCCCCTCTGCACGCGTTCCGTCTCCCTACCTATTTATTCCCCTCCACCCGTCACCCACTCCTCATCCTTTTCTTCTACATCCACTCACAACACATCCACATCAACCAACGGGTACATCATCACCAACAAACAAATCCATCAACCCCATCATCACACAGAGCAGCAATGGCCCGCACCAAGCAGAGTAAGTCTTTCTTCCTCTGCGATATCTCCAGTCAACATCTTTACTGACTTGACTTTCACAGCCGCCCGTAAGTCCACTGGTGGCAAGGCTCCCCGCAAGCAGCTCGCCTCCAAGGCCGCCCGCAAGAGCGCCCCCTCCACCGGAGGTGTCAAGAAGCCTCACCGCTACAAGCCCGGTACCGTCGCTCTTCGTGAGATTCGTCGCTACCAGAAGTCCACCGAGCTTCTGATCCGCAAGCTCCCCTTCCAGCGTCTGGTAAGTCGCGAACCACACACCGCGCTTCCCCAATAGCTTGGTCTAACACTCTACTCTCCCAGGTTCGTGAGATTGCCCAGGACTTCAAGTCCGATCTTCGCTTCCAGTCTTCGGCCATTGGCGCCCTTCAGGAGTCCGTCGAGTCTTACCTCGTCTCCCTCTTCGAGGACACCAACCTGTGCGCCATCCACGCCAAGCGTGTCACCATCCAGTCTAAGGACATCCAGCTCGCCCGCCGCCTCCGCGGCGAGCGCAACTAAGCGACTGTCTTTTGATTTTCTCTTTTCACATGGGTGGCTCATGACTCGCGCGTTTGGGAATGCTTGACGAAGGGACCGTCTTGGTTTTGGGGGTAATCTGGCGTTTAACGATGCGTTCTTCAGAATAACGCAAGGGTTGTACATTAAATAAGCAGTAAAGGATGACTGCATGCAATGGCAAACAAATTATGAACTACTCTACCTTGTCTATATCCCCATCGTGAACCCGTCACTCCAGCAGTTATGTTGCTTCAGCCTTCAACACGCGCTCGTGTACGTGTACGCCCGCACAGGTACGACCAGGATGACGTGCCCTCAGGACTGGCGACAACAAAACCTGAAGGCGCGACGCGGACTTACAACCTGGCCGGCAGGACGGCAGGTGCGTTCGCCCTGCGGCAGTCAACGAAGACTACATGATTATGATGCTAGTGTGTCCCAAAGACAAGAACTCGTTCTTGTAGGTGGGGAATAGTAATTAACAATGGCACGTACGCTGGTGATGTTTACATAAACGCATCCTGTTCTGATCGAGTCACTGTACATGTTTTTTTTCTTCTTGTTGTCTTTATCATATCCAAGCACCCATTATCATTGTTGTCCGATAGACTGAGCATAAGGTCAGATAAATAGATCTTTTGATTGCTGTCCCGCCTCTGCCACCTCTGTCGAAGCTGCTTATCGGAGATGTCACAGAGACGGGAAGGCATGAAACGCGGTGTACAACGTTACGAGGAAAGCAAACCGCTCAGATGGCCGTCATACCGGCAGGACCTCATTGTTTCCCAAATCCGATTGCGCTTTCCCAACGAAGCTGGCTGCTCCTCGCAGGTCCAGAGCTGCTGGCATGAAAAGGCCGTTACTTTGCCGGCAGACCATGGCCAGACTGTATCCGTCCGCTCTTCGGGGCTCGGCCAAGCTGACTCAGACGGCACATCCTACATCGGAGAGTCACATTTAGGCGACAGCTACAGGTCTAACAGAAAAGAGGTCAAGTCTCCTTGGTGTTTCTATTAGTCCCAGACAATTTTTCGTTGACTACTGGCGAGGTTCTCTGATTACATGTTTTTCGCGACGGCCCAAAAGTTGTCCATCTTGGCTCGGGCCAACGCGTCCCTGGCCTCGGCATCAGATTCGCAGACCTTGCTTCCCCACTTGCGGTATGCCCTCGCCTTCTCTTCGCCTTCAAACACCAGCTTACACTCATTGTGGGACATGTCCTTCAAATCGCCGCTCTCGTTTTCCGCTACCAGCCATTCGCGAACCTGTTGTTGGGTCTTCCCCTCTTGCGAATGTGCGTTTTCAGTCCAGTTAATCCGCTCAAGCATGAGCTTCTTGTATTTGCGTATACTGTGCTCACCACCCTCAACAATGACAAGATTCATCCTTGGATGCATGATGCAGATCCCCGTGAGAGCATGCTGTTCGGCGTTCTTTTGAATCTTGAATCTATTTCGGCCGTTGGCGAGACTGTCAATTTTGAGAACCAGTATATGGATGCCCTTTGCGGCATCCTTTTCTTGGTTCGTAGCAAGTTTGACGTGCTTCTCTTCTTTTGTGAGCTTGCGATCTTCATTGGCCTCCAAATGATTCTGCTGGCGTTCGGCGATCTGCCTGTTGACGAGATTTTCCACGGCCGTTGGATCCTTCACTGCAGAGTCTGCGTAAACACGCATCATGTTGCTCTTCTTGACTTTGGGGGGTGGAGCTGGCACTAGCCCAAGTCTGATCTTTGCTTGCTGCTCCTTGAGTTCGGCCATCCTTCTCTGCCTCCTGGTCTTGGCCATTTCTTTCGGTGTCAGGTACATCGGCTTCAGGGCTGGCGTATTCTTCTCCTGCGGCGGTTCCAACGCGACGGGGTGCTGTACATATTCCGTGATAATGGTGTCCTCTTTGATTTTCAATTTGGATTCGTCGTCGATACAGTCGTAGGAGGACCCATCGACCAGTCCACCGTCAAACCACTCTATGTCCGGAGGAGGGTCGACAACAAGGTTCTTCTCCATCTCCAATTCATCTTCGATACCGGCTTTCCTTGTTTGCGCCGCGATTCTCTTCTTCATCTCTTCGAGGGCAGCTTGTCGCCGCAGCGCCGCGGCTTGCTGGATGAACTTGCCCTTGGCATGGAAGTTTAGCGACCGCGCCTGACGTTGTCTTCCACTTGCGGGCTGTGCTGCCTGCTGGTCGTTGAAATACGGGTTAGATAGCGGCGCATCGCGGCCTCGCCCAGCAGCATCTGAAGCTTTGAATCCAGTCGAGAACTTCGAGTCAGAGTGCGGTCGACTGCCGGATGGCTTTCCATCGTTGGGTCTAGCTGGCACCTTTGTCTGTCCGAGACTCTCGAGGACTGGATGTAATCCGACGTTGAGGCCTCCTTTGGCCTTGGAGACGCCGACTGCCGCGGCAACTCTTGCTTTGAGCGCAGCCATCTTATCGGCGGCCGATTCAGGCTTCGAAATCCGGGAGTTAGGGTCATGACGAGGCCCAAGGCCTACCGAGTCTGATTGTCGATCCATTGCGACGAGGCTGATATGCTGCGACTTTCTACACGGCTGATGGTAGGGACCAGATTGTGGGATGCACGTCTTTCCGGAGGTACACGTGCTTCGTCAGGAGGATGTTGGGCAAGCGCAGGCGCTCTTTCGCCGAGCCGATCGTCTTCGCGGAGTTCGCTGATGGTGTGTTGTAGTCGGAAGGGTAAATCATTCGCAGAGACCCCAAGGCAAAGAGGATGGGCGGTTGGGGTCCGTAAAGAGGATTCGGTGGTGGCCCCGTTGCACGGTTGATGGGGGTTGTGGTTGAGGAATACGGAATGTTTCTTGAGAGCTGGAGGGAAACGCCCCTACTATGGCCTCTGGTCAAGAGAGTGACTACGTAAATCTCCAGTTGAGACTGTGGCCTCGATGTTATCGTATTGTCCGTTGTGAGGGAAACACAGGAACATAGGCTAGTAAGCAGCACGCAGGCAGGTAGGTGAGGTGGTGGACACTGTGCAAGGTTCCTTGGCTTGATGGCAACCTGGAAGGTCCCGTTCCTTCAGGTCATCTTGAAATGCCTTGGTGCCTTGCGCCGATAGCAGTGGCAGACAAAAAAATAAGTGCAGGACCCACCAGATAAGGCGGGTCTCTGTTCTGCCGACCACCACCGCCAAAAAAAAAAAGTTCCCCTCGGTCTCCCACCGACGGTTGCTGCTCTGGACCATCCGCCCCGGTCGTATTGAATTTGCGATCGAGCCAGTGCCTCGTTGAAGCGGAAGCTGTATGGAAAATTTGCTTCGGACACCATACCTTCTGCCGTTCCAACTCAGATTGGTGCCAGGCTGCTACCTGACGCCTCAACGGCAATATGAACATCTCTCAACCCATTTCATCGTCTGTCGAGACGGTCGAGTTCACATTCCTCACCGAGGAAGAAATCAGAGCAATCTCAGTCAAGCGCATTGAGAACGACAGCACATTCGACAATCTTCTGAACCCCGTCCCTGGTGGTCTCTATGATCCTGCTCTAGGCTCATGGGGCGATGCTCTGTATGAAATGCCCAAAATGTCCCTTTTCCTTTGCTCAGTTGACTTACATGTCTCTTCACAGCTGTGCAACTTGTAACTTGAACCAGTCTTCATGCCCGGGCCACGCCGGCCACATCGAACTCCCCGTACCGGTATACCATCCTGTATTTCTCGATCAAGTTCTCCGTCTTCTAAGGTCGCAATGCGTCTACTGCAAAGGCTTCCGCTTGCGCCATCGCGAAATCAATCGATACTCCTGCAAACTTCGACTGCTGCAATATGGCCTTTTGCACGAGGCACACTTGGTTGACGCCATTGGAGAAGAACTCAAGGGCCTCGCACTCCCGGGTGTGCCTACCGATTACGAGAGCGAGGCTGAAGAAGAGGGCACCTCCACGGTCGATAACATTATCGGGGCCCGAGAGGCATACGTCCGCCAATCTCTCAAATCACACAAGCTCAATCTGGGCGAGGTCAGGAAGGGCAAGCACGAAGGTGCTATTGAAATGCGGAGAGAGCTCATCAAGGACTTCTTGACACAAATCACCAAGCCCAAACGATGCGACAACTGTGGCGGTATCTCGCCTACCTACCGAAAGGACCGCTTCGTCAAGATATTCGAAAAGGCCCTTAGCGAGAGGGATATGGCTCAAATGGCTCAGAAAAACCTACACCTCAAGGATTCTATGGCAACACCAGCTCACCAGCGCAAGTCAAAGCGCGGCAACACCGACACCGACGAAGGTGTTGCCGACGTTGATGCAAACTCATCGAGCGAGGAAAACGATGTTGACATGCGGGATGCTCATGATGACGACCTCGAGAAGGAGGAGGCAGAGTCCAGAGTTGATGCTGTCCGTCAAATCCCCGGTCAGCAGCGATACCTTAGTGCAATGGAAGTTCGCGCACGTCTGCGGGAGTTGTTCGACAAGGAACAAGACATTATGTACCTCGTCTACAACTCGAAGCCAGTGACCAAGAAGGCAGCTAAAGTGTCTGCCGACATGTTCTTTGTCCGAACTATTCTTGTTCCCCCTAACAAGTTCCGACCAGAAGCTCGAACTGGCGATTCTCAGATTTCCGAGGCCCAGCAGAATTCCCTCTACAAGATGATCATGCGAAACTGCGGTAGCATTGCAAGAATACACCAAAGCGTGGGTGGCACAGACCAGTACGGGAGAGCAAGAGACATCAACGATTTGCACCAAGTCTGGACGGAATTACAAGAGTCTGTCAACTCTCTGATCGACAAGAGCAAAAACCCCGTCCAAGGCGCAGCTGCGAAAAGGAACGAAGATGGCATCAAGCAGAAGCTGGAGAAAAAGGAGGGCCTTTTCCGAAAGAACATGATGGGAAAGCGAGTCAACTTCGCTGCTCGCAGTGTCATTTCCCCCGACCCCAATATCGAGACCAACGAGATTGGTGTGCCTCCCGTTTTCGCACGCAAACTTACCTACCCCGAGCCCGTCACGAGCCACAACTTCAAGGATCTGC